AAAAAAAAAAAAAAAAAAAAAAAAAAAACCACTACCAAAATGTACCTTCAGCTATCTGCCCATACTTTGAGAACTCACTCACTAGATGACTCTGACTTGTCGAAAAAGATAAGTCTGTGATCAGGTAAAATAGTATGATTCGATGGGGGTTAAGGAGTGCATAAAAATAGTGATGTGCAAAAAGAATAATCTAAAAAAAACAAAAAAGTAAAATCATGGTTCGACTTTGATCTAACCGAGAGAAAAAATGACAGATGCTAGGTGGACAGTAAGAGAAAGGAAGAGTTACTAGGTTAAGGCAGTTAAAACCATGTCCAAATGTAAACTTTTATCTTCCTTAATAAATCCTAAGGAAGCTATCACAATAAGAAACTTCAATTCATAACCAAATGAAAACTTTTATCTTCCTTAATAAATCCTAAGGGAGCTAAGCAAAATAAAAACTTTCATAACGTAGTAAAAAATGATTTGCTTTGGCTGGCTCGAAATCTGTTAACAAAAACACTGCTGCATTCATATTTTCAAAAATATTTTCATCAGAGTTTGTGTAAATGCAACTTAAAATCTATGCCAGCCCCATCAATCTGCATCATAACATTTTTTGAAAATTACATCTAATTTACTAAATCTTTCTGAGCAGCACATTCCAAATGACATGTCAGGAAGCTTCACATACTCGAGCTCTCTCGGGCCTTTATCTAGCCGAGCTCTAAACGAGCTTGAGCTCTTGTTCAACAATATAACTAAGTCAAACTCGAGCTTTAACGAGCTTNCCCTATTTTCAAGCCCAACAAGTCTTATTAAACGAGGGCAGCTCGTTTCGTATAACAACTCTAGCCAAGAACAATCAAATCTTATGTTTTTATCCGATTCTAACAGATAGTACTAATAAAATCCACAAGAATCGAACAAGGGATGATGGCAAAGGGAAAGAAGTAGAAATCTTTAGTCATTAACACGAAGCTCTGAACAATAAGTGCATGATACTTATACAATCATGGCAACAGACAAACCAAGAAAATGAAAGAGACAAACAAAAAAATTCAGAAAAGAAGCCAGAAATTTAAGAAGAATTTATTGGGATACAAACGTTTCGAACAAGCAAAGCAAAAAATTATACACAAATAACCAACGACAGAACGAATAAGCAGCAGGCGATAAAGTGACTTACTTTTGACAATAATTTTGCTTGCAAGAGGGTAATTGTTGCTGTTTGAAGCATTAATCTTTGATGAGACCGACAATCTATGATGGGTCTTGTTCGAAAATGGAGTTGGAGCAGAATAAGGAAGAAAAGAAAAGATTTTTGCCATTTTTCTCCGCTGGAATTCTCAGAGCTGAATATGGTTAACCCATAAAATAAGAAAATAAATGTCTGTGATAAATTGATTTTCAAAATTATGAAAATTTGACCTAAATTATTATAAAAGTAAAAATTGATTATCAATTGCAAAAAACTAAAGGGATAGTGACTTAAACTTTTGATGAAATTCTGTGAATTGAAAATTTGTATCAAGTCCTCTAAATGAGGATTTTTTAAGAAATGGAAACTATAGTTTGGGTGTAATTGAATACATGAGCAGTTGTTTTTGTAACGCAGCCAACTGGCTCCTTAGCATTTCTCATGTATACATAGTTTTAAATGGAAATTTGTTTGGAAAAGTACATTAAATGGGGGAATTAATTATTTTTTAAATAATAATGATGTGATATATAAAATGATAATTAATTATAATATAGTATAAAAATAGTAAACTAATGATTGATCATTATGAATATCAAATAATAAAGAATAAACAAATGTGTAGCAATGTGATATTTGGTCCAAAAAAAAAAAAATATATGTTAGTTTTTAATTTAAACTTTATATTAAGAAAATTGAGGAGAGAAGAAAAAAAAAAGTAAGATGAGTGAATAATATATTTTATAGTGGGTGGATAAAAATTGTTATATATATGTCGAATTGCACAGTTACCTTTTCCTTTCTAATTTTCAGATTTTCATTTCTTTCCGTTTTTACAAGGCTCAGCACTTATGCGGCTATAAAGGTTTTAGCTTCTTGCAACTTGCAAGGGTCTTCATATTTTAGGGTTTATAAAGGGTTTTAGCCCCTGCCTGTTCTTGTTGACTTCACATTCTTCATTTTCTTTCAAATCAGATGTCAGATTTAGCTCAGAAAGGGAGATACAATTGGTGCATAGATTACCAACTAAAACCACTTATATCACCCAAAAAAAAAAAAAATCTCTTCTGATAAATACTTTCATGGTTCTAAACTTCATTTTACAGAATCTTACAATTCATATAGAGAATTGAACTCAAATCTCACATAAACTACACGACCGTACCATAGACGATACATTCAAACACGGGTCACTGCATATTTTCCCACGAACAAGGCATAACAAAGGAAATTATTCGCGATATTTCATGTTTATGGAAAGTAGTACCACAAAAGAAGAATCAAAATATGCTACCAACATGATAATGTGTTCGATGACGACACTTTTAACAGCAGAAAATAAAATGAAAAAAAAAATTAAAAAAATTCCATCTTAACTTGAGCTCGATTCCATTCTAGCGATATGGTGCAGCTCCAAGCAAGGGCTCGAAGCTAGCCAATTGCTGCTGCAGGAAATTGTACACAGATTCGGTTGTCATGGATGCTACTCGGACCACAACTCCTATTCCCTGTACATGATGATAAAGATCGAAATCAACATTCTGTGAAGTTAAATACGGTTACATATATAAGGCAAGAAATTTCACCTTCGGGCCAAACGTGTTGCATGAAACAAGAAAACTCGGTTTCGACAAGTCATGCCGTGAGTTAATTGAAGGAAGATGAAGTTGTTGGGACATTAATTTCTTCACATTTTCCTGGATTAGATTCTGAATATTCTTCAACTTTGGCCTGATTAAAAGATTCGAAAGTCGATTCTTGAGTTTGTTAGTACAATTTTTTTATTTTTTTTTATTTTTTTTGGGCGGAAAACAATAGTTTGTTTCTACCCGAAAAGAACAATCATAGCTATTGCTTGGTAGTCTTGAAGCCAGCTAGAAATACTGCTTTGACTCCCTTGCTCTAAAAGTATCTGCACCAGATTATAAACATCAAGAAAAAAAAAATTATGAATTCAGGTGTGTTTGTATATAAATAAACTCAATCTATACTAAATTCATACTCAAAATCTAACTCCACTTTAACCCAACCCTACTAGTATCCTCAATATTATCAATATAATTAAATACTATCAATTAATCATTCTTATACATCAAATCAACTCCAATTCACTATTCATCCACCACTCACATAATTCTATAATTCTAACTGACCATCACTTCACATCATCATCTCTCTTACTTTTATATCAAATCAACTTTAATTATTTTATTTTAAATATTATTTTAATATAAAATAAAAATCTCACTAACAACTAACTATACATTTTTTTCAAAATTAACCATGGTTAACCAAAAAGAACTCGTTTTGAGCGGATATACCGTGTCAAGAAATACAGGTTCGTTGCCCGGTAAAAGAATGCTGTTACTGCTCTTGTAATGAGAAAAGGCCCATTTCTCGCCTGATTCATGGCGGCCACTGGTTATCCAGTCCACAAAAAGCAAGTTCGAATCAGGCACAAGTTTGAAGATTTGTGCTTGTGAATATCTTGCCGTGGAAAAGCATGTTACGGGATCTGGAATGAGGACCAGAAGTGAGTCGCGTCCAATGCTAGCCTACTGATTTTGCATAGATTAGATCAGCCACCACTAAAAAATGATTCTTTTAAAGATCACATGAAAAATGAGACGTATCGAAATACAAAAATATTGCACGTATCAAAAATTTTGATTTTAATCCCATCACTCCAGATAACTTTTTTCTTTTCTTCCTCGAACAATTTTCAGAAAATATATTATTATCCCCTCTCGTCTCATGTTTCCCTTGTTAATCTTATCAATATAATATTTGAAATAAAAACCATTCATCATTGCTAATTTCTGCATGTGATTCACAATTCATCCACTTGACATATCCCGACTACCGCTCACTATATTTTACTACTTCCATATTACACGGCCAACTTTAATAGTTACCTTTTCATCTTATATCTACTCACATTCTAAAAAAAATCGTTCCACCCATCAAATTTTTTTTCATCACTATGCAGCGAAAACAAAAATATCAAAATGAAAAAACACACATACTCATTTGAGAAGTTAGAAGCAAACAACTGATTCTACAATCATACGACTCCATATCAATGATCGAGCAAAATACCATACTAAGGACAAAAGACCGATTTATTCTGGATGAGGAATAAAAAATTGAAGAGAGCACGATTAGTCGATTACCTCCAACTTTTGTTGGCTACATTTCGACCCAACAGACTTGTAAACCTGCATAGTTTTTCCCAATACAAAATCTTCATCAGACACAAAAAATGAGTCCGGCATTAGAACAGCAATATCTGAAGTTCTGAACCCACACGCATAACAATATCCGAAAAAAAACAATAAAAAGATTGAACCTTTGTGGAAGATTGAGTGGTTAAAACAGCAGTACAGCCATCACCCACAGTAACTTCAAAAGCTATGGAGTCCCCCTGCGATTTTTCTCACACGCTTATTAATGCCTAAAATTTACTGCAGTTACAGCTCCAAGAAGAAGTTAATCAAATGCAAGTGAAAGGAGTAAAAACATACAGAGACGATGCCTCCGCCATAGGTGATGGTGTAAATCCACACTGCGTCGGTAATTTGGGAAGGGCCCACCTGGAAATTAACACGAAAAAAGGGATTTGAGCTGTGAAATACAGGAAAAAATGGAGCAAGAGTGATAATGAAGAGGGAAGGGAAGGTTGATGACCTTGTTAGGGCTAATGAATTTCAATGGGTATTTAGAGAAGCAGCGGGTTAGGGTTGACTTCCCGAAGACCTTCTCCACGACCAATTTTCCGACCTCCATTTGTGCCTCCAAGAGGAATTTGCGCTCTCTCTCTCCCTCTCTCTCTCTCTCTCTTTCTTTTTCCCCCTTTTTTTTCGCTCCAAAATTCTATATCGTAAACACTAAACAGTAGAGCCTTCACGGCTTCAACATTAGTATCGGTCATTTTTTTATTTTTTTATTTTTTTATTTTTTTTTCAAAACGACATGAATAATATAACTCACGGGAAATTACAAAGTTACGAGGGCCAACTGACCTTATACAATACAAATGAGGATGGATAACGTCCTAAATAAAAGGGAATGTTTGTGATATGGTCATAAGTAGCGGTTCATGGATGACCGGTTGTGATCCGAGTTTGGTCACATTACTGAATAGGAGCTAGGCAAGGGGCTAGCTTGGCATGAGCACTTCGGTGGAATACCAAAGGTGGGTCAGCTAGGCGGAGTTCAAACAGCTAGGCGTAACCCAATCAACTAGGCATGGTTCAACTAGCTAGGCGTGGTTCAACCAATTAGGCGTGGTTCGACTAGCTAGGCGGATTACCAAAGGTTGGTAAGCTAGGCGGATGGGAGCTAGGCGAGGACTAGCTAGGCGGAATACCAAAGGTTGGTAAGCTAGGCGGATGGGAGCTAGGCGAGGACTAGCTAGGCGGTGACTAGCTAGGCGGAGTACCAAAGGTTGGTAAGCTAGACGGATGGGAGCTAGGCGAGGACTAGCTAGGCGAAGTACCAATGGGAGCTAGGCGAGGACTAGCTAGGCAGGGACTAGCTAGGCGAGGACTAGCTAGGCGGAGTACTAAAGGTTGGTAAGCTCGGCGGATGTGATCACCTAAGCGGATCGGCCCTTAGGCACCTAGGTAGCTCGACGCATAGGCACCTCGGCACCTAGGCAGCTCGACTAGAGGGTCTTGCCGAGGGGACCAGAGCCTGGAGATGGCTTTTTGACCAAGTCACAAGGAAGTTTGTAGCGATGAGGACTCTGAAGATCTGAAATATCTGACCTGATTTAGAGTAAAAAGATACATACACACATTATCTCGTTACTCTGTCGTTTTCTCTTCGAAACACCACCACTGACTTAAGCGTCGGAGTGTCCACGCTGGGACCACCCCTGGCGTGTTTTGCAGGTACCAATGATCAAGGAGGCTCAACCCGGTTAGAGAGGAGTGGTCGAGCGGCTCGAGACTTTGTGGTATAACAATTTGCATCCGCAAACGGCAGAGCGGATACAAACAATACTACAAATGAAAATCAAGCTAGAAAGCAATATGACCAAACCATCAGCAAAATTAACAAACCACTGCCCCTCGGCCTAGTTTGTTAACAAAACCTAGGGAAACAAAATGAACAGAACAAAGAAGAAGACATAGGATCCCCTAAAAACATACTCTGTACAACTAAGGTTTAATACTATTGAACTTAAGCCACTCCCCATGCTATGCTAACTGTGGCTGCCTCCGGCCTCAGCTTGTTTTCAAAAATCCATAGATTTCTTATCTTCCATATCCACCAAAGTAAGTACGTAGAGAGCTGCATTCTGTCTTCTAAGATGGAGTTATGGGGGAGAGAACAAAGTTTGAGCCACCAAGCCTTGTAAGAGTCTGTACATCCATGCAAACCTTCCCATGACACTGGTGCAATTTTCCAAATTAATGCGGCCCTGCTGCAAGTGAAGAAGAGGTGTTCCAGTGTTTCTTGATCTTCACCACAGATTTTGCATATTGAATCTATCCTGAATCTCTTAGCTGAGAGGATGCTCATCACAGGGAGAGTGTTGTTTAGGCATCTCCAAATGAAATGTTTGAGTTTGCCCTTGACTTTGAGATTCCAGGTTCTTCTTGTAGCTTTAAGATGATTTAGCTCCCGGCTTCCCTCAGGCAAGTCTAGAGAGTGCCTTTTCTTCTCAATCAGGTTGGCATATGCAGATGCAACCGAGAACTGCCCATTTCTACTCCAATCCATCTAATCCTGTCAGGCTTATGTGGATCAAGCCCTGAGATATCCAGGATTGCATCTGCTTCCGGTTTTAGGAAGTTTTCTTCAATAAATTGTCTGTTCCATTTTCTTCCAGAGTCCTCCATAAGCTCACTAACTTGTTTACATACATGTCTGAGAAAGTTTGAAATTTGGCAGTTTAGGGATCCATGGATGTCCCCAAATGTTAGTGGACTTCTCATCGTAAACTTCTATCCTCAGGCCACTTTGCATTGAATCTTTCACTTTCAACTAACTCTTCCAGAGTCATGAATTGTTGTGCTTCGGTTTTGCATTAAAAAGATCTTGTTTTGGAAAATACAACCCCTTGATTACCTTGCTGACGAGCAGATTCGGGTGAGAGAGTAGCCTCCAAAGTTGTTTGAAAGTGAGTGCTTTGTTGAATAAATGAAGATCATGAAAGCCTAAACCTCCTCTGTCCTTAGGCAAGGTAATCTGATCCCAATCTTTCCACTAAATACTACTCTATTTATATTTATACGTTTATTAAATTAATGCATTTAAATATAAAAACATGTAAAAAATAATTATTATCCATCTATTAAATTTTATTGTTACATTCTATTTTTTATTAAAAAATATGTAGAATTGTTAAAATTAAAATAATTAATATTAGATGCGTGAAAGTACAACGACGACAAAAATTTAAATTAAGATTAATAAAAATAGTGGAACAAAATTATTTTTTTAGTTGGTAACAAACTTGGCCCAAATGTAATCAACTAAATTGACACGAAGTTAGTAATGCATTTTATTCTAAATAAGGTCAAATCGAGCTTTTTATCAAAACTAACGAGTTGAAATTGAGCTTTAACTCATCAAGCTAAGTTAACCGTTCAAAAAATTAATTGACTTGAAATTAACTCGTTTATCCAACAGGACAAACAAAACTCGAACTGGGCAGAGTCTATACTCGTCGAATTAAGCTAATAATACAATAAACTAGTTGAGCCAAGGTCCACTTGTTTATCAACAAGACAAGTCGAAGTTAAGTTGAACAGAGAGTTGAGCCCGCAAATGGTTCAATTGTAGAAGCAATTCGATCCTTTGACAGATCTAAACTTAAGAGATAAAGTTTGAAATCAGGCATTAACTTGTCTAGCTATCGTTCAAAAAATTAATAAAGTTAAGATCAACTACTTTATCAAACAAGACAAACTAAACTCGAGCTGAATAGAGCCTTTACTTGTCGAGCTAAACAAATAATTCAAGAAATTAGTTGAGTCAAGATTATCTAGTTTATCAACAAGACAAGTCAAAGCCAAGTTGGACAGAGCCGAGTTCACGAACTGTTCAAACGAACAAGCAATTGTATAGTTTAACATCCTAAGAGATAAAGTTTTTAATCAGGTCTTAACTCATCAAGCTAAGCTAATCGTTAAAAAACCAATTGAGTTGAGATCACCACATTTAGAGTGTGATTGAATATGGATCCAACACTAAAAAAACTAATTATTTTTAACTCAATCATTTTCTTTAACGCAACTTTAACTCAATCCTACTATTCTCAATATTATCAATATAACTAAATAATATCAATAAATCATTCTTCCTTATCACTCAACTTTAATTTACAATTCATGCACTCACATAATTTTAAATAACCATCACTTCACATTATCTCTCTCATGATTTTACATCAAATCAGTTTTAATTATTTATTTTAAATATTATTTTAATACAAAACCTAAAATCTCACTAACAACTAACTATACCACATTTTTCAAAATTAACTATAATTAACTAAAAAACAAAAACAATCGAAACTAAATCAGATCCATATCCAACCACACTCCTATCAAACAAGACAACCAAACTCGACCTAAACAGGGTCTTTACTCATTGAGCCAAGCTAATAATTTAAGAAACTAGTTGAACCAGGGTCAAACAAGACAAGCCAAAATCAAGTTAACATGGCCCACGAACGATTCATCGAACATGCAATTCAATTTCTAGACCTAAGAGATTAACATGTAACTTTACTATTCAACCTCTAGGCCTAAGAGATCAACATATGACTTTACGATTGTGTTGACGGATGTTTTCCCTATTTTTCAACTGGTTCAACAGTAAAAGAATATCGTTGTGTCAATAAACAAACTAAATATGAATCGATTCACATATGTATTACATGGGTGTCAAAAATTATTTATTTCTTGATTTCGGTTTTTATACTTCTTATTTTTCATGATACATAGATATTTATATACTTGATTAATATGTGGGTGCCAATATCATTTCAAAGTAAAATAGTGAGGGCAAAATGAAGATTAGCAGACAAAATAGAGGTTAAAAGCAATTGATCAGCAATAATGGAAAACAAAAGTATATTTAATTCTACATAAAATATCAAAACATAAGTAACAACTGGTAAGCGTTCAACATCACTATAAAATTAAAAGCTCATGCAAGAAAACAGATGTGCTCTGAGCAAATCACAAGGCAAAATAACAAAAAGAAAAAGGTTGTGCTGAAATGGAAAATTCCTTAGGCGCCCCCTGCACTCTTTCCTTTCTTCCTCTGAAGTTTCTTCATGTAAAATTCCAGTTCCTTGCCCTCCAGAATATAACTGTGTAGCCAAAAAGAACATATACCAAACATAAAACTCATAAAAAAATAAAATTAAATTAAAAATAAAAATACAATTGATAGGCACTTTCAGTGCTTTCAATACATATAGCCCAAAGAATGCATTGATGCCGTGAGCCATGTTCAATAGTGCAAGTATAAGTTAAAAGATTAAATATCCTTTCACTTTTCATAGATTTAAACATAGCCAATAGCTAATTGCTACTATCATCATATTATAATCAAATCGTAAATTTGGCAATATAAGCACGCCACATATTCCGAAGACGAAAATCAGGGTTGATCACATAATCTAATATTGCAAACAAGAAAATCAGGTTTGAGATCTCATAATCTAATAGCCCAATAGAGTTTACAGGAAAATGCGGAGAAAAATACGTACCCATCAGCACGCCCACACTGGCCAGGGCGGGAGGAGATTGCTGCCAACAAACGGCCACCACCAAATTGCTCTTCAATATGAGGATCGATTTTACGATCCTGCTGACGCTTTTCGAGTTTTCTTTGGACATGTTTGCTCTTCTTTACCTCTTCAGTAGCAGCAGTCTCATTTTCCTAAAGAAAACAACTTTATACCTTATTAAATGTAAACAACCAGTTNAAAAAAAAACAAAAAAAAGAACTCAATCATAAAAATCTTGTCTAAAGAGCCCATTACTTGCACAAAGCTCAATGCCATGTTTGCATCAAGGTTACTATACAGGGCAACATATCTAACTCTATGACATAACACTGTTTATGCTTTATATTTGGAATGCTATCACTTCTCCCTAATGACACCCCAACAAAAACTAAACCCAGTGTCAATTATCCAGCATAACATTCATTCACTTGGTTAGGTAATTACAATGACAATAAAGTTATCTAAACAAATATCAAATTGAAGAAAAAAAGTGCACGGAAATCAGTCATCACCTCTCCTTCCTTCTTGGAAACAGCCTTCTTCTTCCGGCCAATGTCCACTCCATAATGCTGAAGGTACCACTGCTTGAATGGTGCAGCATCCACTTGGATAATAGCACTTTTTACCAAAGTCTGTGTCCTAACCAGCTCGTTGTTAGACGCATTGTACACAACATCCAAAATACGAGTCTTTCGGGTCACGGCCTCACTACCCCACGAGTAGTTTCCTGTGTCCAGCCTCAATGCGCGCCACTTGACATTACCTCCACGAACCCTCACTCTGCGAACAGTCTTGTTGCTCGACAACTTTGTGTTCGCGGGCTGTCTTCCGAGCTCATACCTAAAAAAAGAACACTCATTGGAATGAATTGCAGTTGCAGAAAACTAGATTTTAAAGTACTAATATATTGAACGGTATGAAAAATTAACAAACACAGTCAAATTCTTATCCACAGTAATAATAAACAGGGCTCACATTCTGTGTTTTGGCTGATTATGCTACACACATACACAACTGATGGAATTGAAGAGATCAACACAATTGAGGAACACATTATCTGGTTTTAATATTTCCTAACATTCTGTGTTTTGGCTGATTATGCTACACAACTGATGGAATTGAAGAGATCAACACAATTGAGGAACACATAATCTGGTTTTAATATTTCCTAAAGTAAGCAATTGGTAAAACCAGACAAGAAGCACAAGAATAATATGAAATAGTGCACAAGACCAATGTGCTGCCCATTTTTAACGGATCAGGTTACGAGAAAATTTGAAAAAAATAAAAAAAAATATAAAAATGTCAATTCGAATCATTCAGATAAAATCCAAAACACAGACTAAACTAAAATTCAGAACAATGCAGATAATGGCTTTATCTTACTTTCTCTTCTTCCTCCAAGCCTTCTTCTTCCCGCCAGTGGCACGCCTCTTGTGCATGGAATCCCGAGAAATACCTGAGACCAAATATCATTTTCGTCAATCTCTTTACGAAATAAGGTCCGATAGACTTATGGGTACAGTAAGTAAAAAACAATGGAGGCGAGGAAATTGATGAATTACCCATGGTTGCCGGCGGATGATCTTAATGCTCCGATTGATCTCCGGCTAGACACTACCAGGCAGCAAGAATAAAAGATGAGAGGATTGAGCTCCTTTATCACAGTGTGTGCTTGTGTCAAAACCCTAGGTAAGCGAAATTACGAGTAAACCCTCACAGTCAAAGTGCAGTTTACCAAGTGCACCCAACATAATCGATAGGCCCAATAGAACCAAGATGATTATTGTGCCCACTTAATTTATCAAACAGTTATATATTTTGATCACATTTATAAAAAATATCTATGTTTACAAAATTATTATCTACAACTTTATAAATGTAACTTAATTTTTTTTTTTTTCAAAATTCTATTGAAACATAATTATATTGTATATTATGATTATATAGTAATTGAATTGCTACCCCTCATCTCTTTTTTTAGTATAATATATTGAAAGCGTTGAAATTAGTCGAAATTTCGATATTAGCACCTGTAATTTAATTGTTTGTTATATTCATCTAATAATTTTTGTATAATTTTAGAAAAATTGAATAAAGTAATAATAATAATAATAATAATAATAATAATAATAATAATAATAATTATAATAATAATAACACTCTTTTTTCTTCTCATACGCAATAACTTTGAATTTTACATAAATGTGAAAAATCCGCATATCTGAATGGAGAACACAACTATCGTTGAATATAATTTAGTTTTCACGAGTTGTGAATTATGTAAAAATACACGATTGATCATACTGGATGCTTGAGAGAATATTGTAGAGCTCATGAATTTGTTTTAATTTCATAATTAGAAAATGGATTCCTGTTCATGTGTAATTTTACACCATATTTATATAGTATTTAGAGCTTATTCATGGCATTATTGGTATATAAATTGCATTATTGTGCTATAATTATATATCTTGTTGGAAAGATATTACACGTGCTTGTTTTGTAGATATTTACACATATTTGTAGAACTTTTGGCTATTGGAGGCGCATGGTGAGTACCTAAGACCCCCGGGATAATAAAAGATTGATGCACGGATGAAAAAGAAGAAACGAGTGAAACAAGCAAGAAAAGGAGTGTGCAGAGCTGACACGGGGCTGCGACACGGACGGTGACACGGGCAGAATGGCCGTGTCACGCGCGCATGCTGGTTTTTATTTTTTGCCTATTTTGAAAATGATAAGGGTTTTGGACATTAGAAAAGGCATATTCAACCTATTTTGAAATGAAGAACGTGGAGACACATTAGAGGAGCTCTATTACACACAAGAGAAGCAATTGGGAAACAAAAGAAGATCAACTACGAAGGGATCAAGAAGATTGAGAGATCGACGAGATTCCTAGTTTTTCTTTCTTCTTCCTTTTGAACTTTTATTATCATGTCGATTTCTAATATGTCTATGTATTTGAATTCGAATATGAGTGGCTAGACTATTTGATTCTAAGACTTGGTAGTAGATTAATATGTTGGGATTTTGGATGAATTATTATAATTGATTGTCTTCTTTTCAACCCTATTCAACTATTTTGTTCTTTTTTCATGTTTAGCACTTGATCAATGCTTTTACATGTTTGACAATATTGTTCATAATTCGAGAGATGAGTTCAATATTAAGTCTTTAATATTTGACACAATTTACTTGCTTGAATCGAGAGATTAGTAGGTCGTTGTGAGGATATTAGATCTTTTAATCTATTTGTAGTTGAATTGCATGTGTTGAGTGGAGATGCTAATATATGTGATTTAATCTACGATTTTATCGATCTCGAAAGGGACGATAAGCTAAATTTGTGATCATCTTATAGGGTAGATAAAGAAAACATTTAGTTGTGATATATTTAAAGGAACCCAACTATTAATTGAAACCACAATCTTAGAATCTATCATTCTCATATATTTTCTTACGTGTTTTTCTAGCTAGTTCTTTATTTTTGCTTTATTTCCCTTTGATTTATTTTATTAGTTTAGCTAATACATCTCATATTCGATTGTCTAAATAAAGTTGTCACTATCATAATCTTGTACTTGATATATTAATTATTTGGTCTCTTGAGATACGACGTTGCTTGTCACATACTACGAGCGAAGGCGTACACTTGCGGTCGAACTTTAAAAATATAGGCGAACAATTCCTCCATGTAAGTTTATTGTTAAAAATTCTAACAATACTTTTATTATTTTATTAGATGTTTAGGAGGAGCATCATCATACTATTTGATCAGATCGTGCATACACTCTAAGCACAACTAGGCCATAAGACTACTTAAGTTAGTGGATTACACAAGTTATCCACGAGAAGTTAAGGCCTATACTTCCTAGTTGTACTTATTGATAAACATGATGTACTCTTGACAATTAGTTTTTATTTCTTGACTTCTATAATAAATTTACATGAATTTATATTTTTTTTTAGTATATGCGTGAATTTAATATTCCCATATAATTTCATAATTGTCAACTTGAATATTATATATTAATTCGATATATAGTATATAAAAAGTAGAACATAAATAAAGAAGTCATAAGTTTTTAAAATATAACAAAAAGATACATAATCGTATGTAATATATAAAATAAATGAGAATAATAAATAAAATAATTCATGACAACTCTCAATACATATGGATTATGGAACCTAACTCCAGTAATTATTATCCAAAAATTTGGTGGTGCGTGGTTGCTTATTATAGTTGAAAATTAGAATGTGATGAGTTTGGGTGGTTGAGAAGAGAGCATTATTATATGAAAAGGGAAATCAGAGTTTGGTGAAGTTGCATAAACACTAGAGAAATAGGATTTTTTTTTTTTCTTTATTCTCTATTCTATTTATATTATTTTAATTAAGCTCATTTATATTCACTTTTAATAAACAAATCAAACTCAAGCATATTTATCTGACTCGATTTGAACACAATTCAATTAAACTTCGCCCAATTCAACTTGTTGGTAATAGTCACTAATGTAAAACAAATTAACTGAAGGGATGAACTGTGATAACTGAAAAAAAAAAAATGAAAAACATAAAACAAATTAGCTATGGCTACTTTTTCACCACTTCGCCTGAAAAAACTTCGGAAGGCAGTAAGAGAAATTTTTGAGCTTTAAGTTTCCGGCCGCCAGTTGCCGATAATACTTACTGAGATCGAATTCACGTTTCCCCCTTTTACAGCCTCACGCGCCTCCGCCGCGCGTGTTCTGTAATCATCATCGCCGTCATCAATTGCCACCGATCATAATGCTCTCAGACACCTAATGAATCCCCGGCCCAAACACAGATCGCCGCCGCTCACCGCCGCCTATCTCCAATCTCCGCCCCTATCGCCGCCTCCCCACGCCCCCAAAGCGTTCGCTTCGAAGATGCCCCGAAAATCCTTCACGAGACCCACCCTCGCCATCGCCGTCCTCCTGGTCCTCATAACCCTATACTCCTTCCTCCTGTACGCCCCTCCCAATTACAACACCAACACCTCAATCAATTTAGGCAACGATCGCAGGTTTCGTTCTCCCGACGGTAGGGAGGTGAGGATTTTCATGTACGATTTGCCGAGGAGATTTACATACGGAATAATCGAGAGTTACGCGGCGGCGCGTGGCGGACGAGCTGCGGAGGACGACGCGCATCTCAAGTACCCTGGGCACCAGCACTCCGCTGAGTGGTACCTATTCTCCGACTTGAATCGTCCGGCTGGGGAGCGGGTCGACTCGTCCGTGACTCGGGTCATGGACCCTGAAGAAGCTGACCTTTTCTACGTGCCCTTTTTCTCCTCATTGAGCCTCATCGTGAACCGGATCCGTCCTGTTTCGAATTTCTCACAAGATGGGGCTGTATACAATGATGAGCAAACCCAGGTAAAATATGTGTCAATATATTCACTGTTGATCTATCTTAGCATCTGATATACTTCTTTTGTGATTGATTGACTGTATTATAACATCTTTTGGAGCACATTTGAGATATTCCATGCCATATGTGCCTGTGAACAGTTCTTTTCGCTTGCCCATGGCAATAATGTTTTGCTAAAAAATTCTAGAAAGAAGCAAATTAATTTCATGAAAATGCTGTGTAAGAACTGACTTCAGCAGCTGGTGATGTTAAAAAACCTTACTTTTTCGCTGGTGGTGTAGGAAGATTTGATGGAGTGGCTGGAAGAACAAGTGTACTGGAAGAGGAATAATGGGTGGGATCACGTATTTATATGTCAAGATCCAAATGCTCTATATAAAGTTATCGATAGGGTGAAAAATGGGGTGCTGTTAGTTTCTGATTTCGGGAGGTTGGCTCGCAATCAGGCTTCCTTAGTGAAGGATGTGATTCTCCCTTATTCCCACCGGATTAATACATATAAGGGTGATGTCAGTTTGGAGAATCGCAAATCCCTGCTCTTCTTTATGGGAAATCGGTACCGTAAAGAGGTAAAAGTCTGCTCAACTTTCACGTTTTGTATGCCTTTACCACTTGGAAAGATTGTTATTTTCCTCCCTTAATCACAAATTTTCTGTAATGCCGAATTTGATACTGTATAGACTGATGGATAGTTGATTGATATCTTTTCAATATTAAGGTTGTGTTTGGTAAGCATATAAGCTAGCTTATAGCTTATTTGATTAGCTTCTAAGCTTCCTGTATTCAAATTAGCTTGGTTTGGTAGGACGAGCTTTTTTAAAAAGCTCGAGCTTATCTCATAAGCTTCTTTGGGTAGTTTTTCAAATTAGCCCATTGAAATTTTTATTTCAGCTTTTACCAAGCACTTTATCATATAAGCTAGCTTTTCAGCCATAAGTAATAAGCTATCAGCTCGAAATTCACTTAAAAGCTATAAGCTAGGTTATATTTACACATGACCTGATTTTATTGAGATGTATGCAGGGCGGTAAGATTCGGGATATGCTTTTCCAATTGCTCGAGAATGAAAAGGATGTTATTATCAAGCATGGGGCACAGTCTAGGGAGAGTCGACGTGCAGCATCACAGGGAATGCACTCATCGAGATTTTGTTTACATCCAGCTGGCGATACTCCATCAGCTTGCCGACTTTTTGATGCTATTGTGAGTTTATGTGTTCCGGTTATAGTGAGCAACTACATCGAGTTGCCTTTTGAAGATGTTATAGACTACCGAAAGATTGCCATTTTCGTTGATACAAACACGGCTGTTAAACCGAGATATTTGGTAAAATTGCTTAGAAGAGTGAGTCCAGAGAAGATAATGGAATTCCAGAATGAATTGAAAAAGGTATGCACTATACATTACTCTTTTGTTCCATTGTATTTATCATTTATATGTATATGTGCCTTTTTTCCATTTTTTACCTAATCTTTTGCTTGAGTTTTTAAAATGTTAAGTGTATTAATTGGGAAACTTGAATAAAGTAATGTAATTAGATTATTTGAGTTATGTTGAAAGGGTAAAAAAATAGCCGTGTAATGTGCATAAATACATCAACAAATGACATTCTTAATCTGTGTGAAGAGAAACAAGGATTTATCATCCATACTTGGGAAAGAGCTGGTCTTGATGTTTTTTAATTGAATAGATGCTTTGGAGAATGGTATTTACATTCCGTTTTTTCTTAATTAACTTATGACATAAGAAAATAGCATTGAGATGAATGGGAATGTCATTTTGTGTCATTTCATCTTAAATGCAGTTTGTATTTGCTAAATTCTGCTCCCTTTCGATTCCATCACATTTCACCAATTTTTGTCGCTACTATTTTTTACGCGTTACAAATTCAGGTGAAGAGATACTTCGAATATGAGGATCCAAATGGGACAGTGAAAGAAATATGGCGCCAAGTTGCTTCAAAGCTGCCTCTTATTAAACTTATGAGTAATCGTGACAAGCGCATTGTAGTTCGAGATTTGGCTGAACAAGACTGCTCTTGCCTCTGCTCGAACCAGTCCAGGATTCACACGACCCTTTGATTGATATTTTGATGGAATTTAATATTTTTCAAGCAGGGGAATCTATTTACATGCTTCGGGTTGCTAAAAATCACTATTTTATCATGCGACAAAAGTGCCAATTTTCATCGTGGCTAGGGTTTTTGGTGTAGAGTATTATTATTATTATTATTATTATTATTATTATTATTATTTAATAGGTGTCTTAGAGAGTAAGTTAGTAATTTAATATTATTATTTAATATTTAATAAGAGTTCTTGTCTTGTTGGACAAGTTAAGGTTTAGGGTTAGGAGCCTTATATAAAGGACTTCCTCTAGTTTATTTTGATTAGTTGATTTTGAATATGAAATAAGATTAGAGATTGTGAGTCTTGTGTGTTTTAGGAGAGAGTATCTCGTTTACTCGTTTATCCTTCCCACTCGTACGCTTCCCTACATCAGTTGGTATCAGAAGTCAGCACGATTCACGATGCTGTCGCGATGACAAGATGCTGCAAACGACAGGCGTGTAGCCGCCATCTACAACCTGAGCCGCCGGGCCGAGTGGTTTGTCCGCCAGCTCGAGACGATGGGTCGTGAGATTGCAGATCTGTCCGCGGAGATCGGGGATATACGTCTAACTATTCGTACCATGGTTCGGGACAAGCAAACGTACCGTGACGCCGGCAACCGGGGCGTGCGCGGGGGATTTCGCGGAGGAAGTGGAGGCCGTGGTCCAAGCGGGGCGCTTTCGGAGATCTCCACAACCACCGTCCGGCGACGAAGACAGCGAGGAGACAATCTTGGAGGTGAATCCCTTCGACGATTTTCCACCCCCGCACGTCGAGACTGACCCCTTCACTGCATACGGCGGCCGTGACATGCGGCGACGGGGCTCGGTTTTCGTGGATGGCGACAATCAACGCGACGATAGAGGCAGGCGCGAGGAGGCTGCCTTCGCCAGCGGATATCGTGCCAGACACGATTGGGGATTTGATCGCGAATATGGTCAATGGGAGGGCCCGTTTCGCGTTGACATCTTCGAATTCGACGAAGAGCAAGTTGACGGGCCATTGTACGATGGTCCGCCGGTGTTTGATGAAGGACCCGAGGAGGTGGAGCAGTGTCTTACTGGCGAAGTGGACGGTCTCTATGACAGTCCGCCGATTTTCGATGAGGAGCCTCCGAGGGCAGAGGAATTTCATCATGTTCCGGATATCGAAATTCAGCTGTTGGAAGAATTAGTAGTTCTTCTGTTGCGCAGGCCCGAGCTTTTCTCTCACGGGAATTTGTTACGACCTTGTATGCTGTTTTTTGGTCCCCACAGTGACTTTAAAATTCAGTGTGTGGCTACTGCATATATGCCTTTCCATGAATTTCAAGGGGGTGATACCATGGAGGTGCGATATTCAACCTTCGTGTTCGACAGGGGAAAACTTTGGGGATTAATACCTCCACATCAGCCACGGAAGCGCGTCGGCTTCGAGGGCGAAGCCTTCCGAACCGGGGGAGAATGGTGTAGAGTATTATTATTATTATTATTATTATTATTATTATTATTATTATTATTATTATTATTATTATTATTATTTAATAGGTGTCTTAGAGAGTAAGTTAGTAATTTAATATTATTATTTAATATTTAATAAGAGTTCTTGTCTTGTTGGACAAGTTAAGGTTTAGGGTTAGGAGCCTTATATAAAGGACTTCCTCTAGTTTATTTTGATTAGTTGATTTTGAATATGAAATAAGATTAGAGATTGTGAGTCTTGCGTGTTTTACGAGAGAGTATCTCGTTTACTCGTTTATCCTTCCCACTTGTACGCTTCCCTACATCAGTTTTGCAGTTTGTTCTTGCCATTCAGTGTCTCGAGTAGCTTGTTGTTTATTCTAGATTAGGGTTTAGAGAAGATGTGAATGCTATACTATCTTCACGGTTTTCGTCATATGTATTTTTTTGAAAGATTTAGAAGGAATTTCGAGTTGTGCATTGATGATTGAATTGTTCGTGTGCTAATTTTCCGGCACATCATTTAATCGGACGTATTAACATGTTTGCATTGTGGGCATGAGAGCAAGGACTTACATTTGATAAATTCATTTTCCCATTCCCTCGTCAAGGATTTTATGTTTCAAAATACACGATCAAGAGTAACCGAAAGGTGGAGAATTGTATGCCCTATGCAACCGCCTAATCAAAATCCCTATCTAATTCAAGTTTCCTCTTGAATTGAGGCATGGCATGTTTTGAAGGTGAATGGCTTACCTTATGTTGAGAGCTCATTTAGCTCAATAACATTGAAAAATATGGGAACGAATTAGAAATAAGTAAATAACATAAACCTCATATGACTAAATCATCTTTTATGTTTAAAGAGTAGTTTTATGTTATGTAACTAATTTGGGTCAACTAGTCTTTTCTTTGATTTATTTTTATGTATGGAGGTTGATTGTTAAATATTTTTTATATGTTTAGTTTATAACTTTTTAACCCTAATATTTGAGCTATGTATCACTTTTGTTATGATCAACACGATAAAATACACTTTTTTTTCTTCCAATTAAATTAGACAACATATTTAAACATAGATTTAATCATTAAATTACTAAAGTTTGAATCTTTCTAAAAAAAATAACGACCATATCAATTAATTTTTCTTCCCATAATCAAAAACAACAATTATTATAGTTGTTTTAATTAATTTAAACATAGATTTAATTTTTCTCCTAATTAATTTAAACAAAGATTAAATTTACAAAAACAACAATTGTTATAGTTGTTTTAATTAATTTAAACATAGATTTAACAATCACGAACATGATCACGAACAGGTGAATATTTTTCTCCAAATTAATTTAAACAACAGTTATTATAGTTGTTTTAATTAATTAATTTAAACAACAATTATTATAGTTGTTTTAATTAATTTAAACATAGATTTAACAATCACAAACAGGATCACGAACAGGTGAACAATTATTATTACGAACAGGTGAACAATTATTATAGTTGTTTTAATTAATTTAAACATAGATTTAACAATCACGAACAGGTGAACTTGCACAATGTAATTGTTTTAATTAATTTAAACATAGATTTAATAATAACAGGTGAACTTAAACATAGATTTAATAATAACAGGTGAACTTGGACAAAACATAGATAATAACAGGTGAACTTGGACAATTTACGTTACACCGAATCTTCTCATGTACTTAATATTAAATAACTTTTTTTCGGTTATATACAACTTAATATTAAATTACTTTTTTATTGTAAATTAAGTTTATTGAGAAACAACTATATAAATGGATCAATTATATATATAGTTTTTTTACAACAAAACTATATAAAATTATAAATTGAAAAATGAAGGTCAGATCCATTCCTAATTTTTCTATACTAAAACTCTCTCCCAATAATTAGTTGGCTTCCAAACAACAATATTATAAATACTTTTAGAATGTTAAGTAAAAAAAACATAGAATATTAGAGACAATACCTAAATTTTTAACCATAACATATATTTAAATAATCACATACATGTTAATTTCATTGAGCGGGCAGCCTGAACGGAGATGGGCTATGAAGGATTGTCCGAAAATGGTCTGGCAAATAATGAGTTTCAATGTAGTTTAAATTATTCCGACACGAATGAATTCATGAAATTTGAAATTGAAGCCAAATTTGATGTTGGCACACACATCGTGAGTTCTTGCCATGTATTTTGCTCCGGTGAGAAATCGAGAAAAAGGGAGATGATTGTTTGAAAATGGATTCATTTGTGAAAGATGAAGTATAAAGGTAAACACAAATGGTAAAAATTAGCATGCCTAACTGGGCACAATTCACAATTCTCTATGGTAAAAGAGACTTACAAAATACAAAATTCACAATTCTCTATGGTAAAAGGCCAATCAAGCCATCCAAATATTTTACTAATTGGGCACAAAACTTACGACGTGAATTTTCGGCCAAGTCGAGAAATGGTGAGGTCAGCACCACCGAACCCATCCATCACGGTAACTGCAGAAGGGAATTCGGCTCTTGATGTTGAACTGCAGCATCCATATTCCGGTAAACAAACACAATGCCGAGAAAAAAATAAATAAAATTATAAATTTCGATCCTCATGTTAAAGTAATTCAAATTGCTCGAAAAACAAATATATCAATCTCAACTCAACTTTAACTCAACCTAAATATCCTCAATATTATCAATATAACTAAATATTGTTCATTGCAAATGGAGCTGGAAGAGTCATTGTTGACAATTCTCCTGACATAGTGTTAATAATGGACTAGATCAAAATTGTTCAATTAAATTCTAGTGCTTCTTCTATTAGTGAAGTTTCTAGAAAAAAAATATATATATATATCAAACGGCGCAATGCACCTTGGGTCGCTACGGAAACAGCCTCCTTGTATAATTACAAGGGTAAGGACTGCGTACAACTGACTCACCAGACTCCAACCTGTTGGGAATATACTGGGTATGTTGTTGTTGTATCAATATAACTAAATACTATTAATCAATCATCCTTAAACATCACATCAACTTCAATTAACTATTCGTCCACTCCCAAAATTTTAATTACGTATCACTTCCAATCATCTATCTCCTAATTTTACATCAAATCAATTTTAATTATCTTATATTCAATATTATTTTAATACAAACTTAAAATCTCACTAAGAAGTAACCATACCAACTTTTCAAACAAATCAAATATCAATATCAATATATTTATAAACAAGCACACCGTAAGACTTTCTTTTTTTTAAAAAAAAAAATATTTTACCTGCTCCGGAGGACAACACAAGGCATGCCAATTCGCTCAGCAGCAGCAACTCCAGACTGGCTTCCGGCAACCAACACACACTTTTCGACCGGCACTTCTGCATATTCTGCCCCTGCCCTTAGTGCTGCTACAATATTTTGCAAGCTGTATAAAACCCCAGCAATGTATAACCCGTTAAAAGCCCGACATTTCATTCTATATCTTCAGAGAGAGAGAGAGAACCTTTCACTTGAATTGTTATTGAGCTCCACTTTCAGCTTCAGCATAGAAGCAACCTCCTCAGCAATCCTCTGTCTCTCGGCAGAAGCTAAAATCACAAATAAACCTCACTCTCTTAGGTCTCTCAACAGATAACTATGCGTGTGGGGAAGAAAAAATTAAAGAAAAAAAAGAGAATAAAAAGAAAATAAATGAAAGAAGAAAATGCAGGGTCTTTTTACCTGCTTTGCTCACTTCCTTTGCCAACTGCTCGTCCAAACTGGAAAAAGCTCCTTTGCCAAACACAAGTTGCCCGTAAAAGCTTTGCTTCACCTCTTCATCTCCAACAATCTTTGTCTTGGACATTCTCTCGCTTCCAAGCTTTTCCGCAATTGACCTAACAAATAAAATATAAAATAATATTCTTTATTAGCAACACATTATGTCGCTCAATATGCTTAGGCTGTTTATCTACTAGCAACGAACCTTGCAACCTTCTCCCCACTTGTACCATATGCTGTCAAGATAATTACAGGGATGCCTTGTTCGAAAGCATTGTCAATAAACCTGGGGAAAAGATAGGTTATAAGTAGTGTTGTTTAATTAAACGAGCCTAGCTCGGCTAGGCTCATTAAGGCCCGAGCTCGAGCTCGGCTCGATAAGAGAATTTTATATAATTTTCTATAGTTCGGCTCGTTAAAGCTCGAGATTGGCTCGAGCTCGAGGCCTTAACGAGCCGAGCTCGAGCTCGATTTCTGGCTCGTTTATTTAAGCTCGGCCTTGTTTACAGGCCTAGTTAGAGGTAGATTGAGTTAAATGGGATTCGAAGTTGGCACGTTTATCGTAACAAGTGATAAGAAAAGTTAACATATGACATATTTGATATCATGTTAGATATTAAAAATGCGCATCTATCAGAATTGACTACTCACTCTTCAGCACCGGGTCTCAACGTAAGAGCTTCTGACATGACAAGATCATCCAATGCATTTTTCTGTACAGAGTTAACCAACAATTAAGCTTCTTCTTAACGATATATATGAAAAACCAAAAAATATAAAAGAAGAGCCCGTGTCTGCAGATGGAAAATAAGAGTGATATTCTAATTTGAGAGTGCCACTTGGAAAAAAGCACCAAACAAAATTGCAATGAAACTGAGGAATACAAAATGTGCATAATGACTTGATAAGTTGAGCATGACCAAAATTAGGTGACTTCTTGAAAAAAAAATTGGCTAACAATGAAAAGAAACTCGAGTATAACAAAGTAAATATGCAGCAAACACCTACCAGTTTACCTTAAGCAAATGTGAACTATAGGCTTGTCAAATATGTTAAATCTCTCATCATGTATAAGATAAGGAAAATGGGGGTGAAATAATTCTTATTAATACCTTCTCTCGAAGAACATTCTTCATAAAAGTCCCCTTCTCATTTGTTGCAACAGCAGTTGGCCAACCAATCTGCGGAAAGAAACACCTAAGCCTTAGATGACAATCGTGAATGAGTAAAATCAAACTATATGTAACAATAAAAAAATGGAACATTACATTACCCTGTTAAAGTACAAAACTAACATCCTTTCCTCATCACCGGCACTTTTCCTGAACATTAAGGAGTTTTTTTCCATTACAATAGATTAAACAGAAATGTGTTTGCCTAAGAACCCCATTTTTAGAAAACCCACATTCTTGGATTCGACTTTCTACACACTACACAGCTCAAACAAAAAATAAAAAAATAAAAAATGAATTGATTTTCCAAAATCACACCTTACAAGATCTACATAAACGGGCTCGGTCCAATTTGCACAGTCCAAACCCAGCTTCCTGAAAGCTGAAAATTTCAAAAGAAACCACTGTGACACATGACAACACACACACACACACACACACACAAAAAAAAAAGNATAGAAGTTAGAGGCATATGTCACACCTACATTAAAAGCTTGGCGATTGCCCAATCGATACACATCCATTAAAACCCTGAGGCAAAAAAAAAAAGAACTTTACAATCAACCACAAACAATCGAGATTAAATACTGTGTCATCAACAAGAGTTCTAATAAAAAAATTAGGAACTCATACAAATTGCTGCAATAATAAATTCCAAAAGCAATCCCAAAAATAAAGAACTTGAAAATTCATCCCCGAGACTCGAAGAGCGAAAATTGAGAACAATAACCAGAAAATTCAAAGAAAGTAAACAATACCCTTCAACTTCAAGAAGAACTGAGAAATTCTGAGATGGGCTCCGCTCAGTAGGGTTTCTTGTGGAGGCATTGCCGATGAGCCGTTCAGACCGCAGCCTGTTGTTAATTGGACTGAAACAGTGAATTTTTTTTGGGCAAGTGAATTGAGAATTACAACGTAAGTGGTTGCCATGGCTGAGATACAACAGCTTCGGAGTACTATCGGCGGCTCCGGCGGTGGCGCGGCCGCAAAAGGTGAGCGTGTGTAAAATTGGGCTGGAAATGGTTTCCATCGAAAACCAGATTTTCTGCAGTGGGTTTGTCATTTGTGTACACCGCTTTTAACACAATGACAATTATTGTGGGCCTTTTTTAACAAAAAAAAAATATCTATTTCATAATATATTATAATTATTATAACATTTTATTTTAAAATATTCATAATGTTTGCATTATAATATTATTAGTCATGTTCATCATTATCAAAAGTGAATTGTATTGAATATCTCTATAGGCTTATCAGTACGGAAGACGGCTCGAACTTTAACTTTCACCAAATGTGACCAACTCAGAATTACACATCTAGCCTTCATCAACAATCTTATGCTACTTTCACGAGAAGGCTCGAGGTCCATCTAAATCCTCATGAATTGCCTCAAAGATTTTAGTGCTAAACTGAGGTAGAAATGAACGATTAGAAATCCAATATTTATTTGGCGGGTGTGGAAATGCTAACCGAGCAACAATATTTGAAGACATGCACTTGCAGTGTGGTTCCATGCCCTTTCGGTACCTAGAGACCCCCTCACTGCTGAACGTGTTAGTGCGAGTCTCTTTGATAGCTTAGTCAATCAGATTGAGGTGCATTTTAGTGGATGGAGTGTCCATACACTCTCATATGTCGGTCGAGGGGAACTCATTCGCTCGGTAATCCAATGGGTGCTTTTGGTTGGGGATATTTCCAAAGTATGCAATAGTACCAAAATGCCCCAATTATATAGGCGATTTCTGAGGCTCAAATAGTGCTCCCGTGGCTTGGGATTACATTTCTTTCCCGTGACCTTAGGAACATGCAGGCCAAGAGGCCACCTTATTGCACAAATAGATCCACCATATTTACTTGTTCGGCAAGTCTAGTTGGGGCTAGGCGATACACAAAAAAAATCTGCCCCCTTTTCAAATTTCTTTTCGAGATCTGAAATGCCTTGATAGACAAATCGGGTGGTGAACAAGCAGCAACAGCCTTGCTTCATCGGTGGAGTTCGCGAGACAAGTAAGATCGGACGAGAAGTTGCTATGATTTCTTAAGGCCATGCTAAAACAATGATGCCACGGTCGAGTGTAGTGTGAGGACCTTGCAACACCCCCAAGCACTTATTCATACTTCGGCTGGTGTGCTCAATCGTCTCCGCACGAAGAAACGAATAGATTTTCTTGACGATATTCGACTTGCTCTCTTTGTGGTGTTGCAGCTGAATCAACAAGTCACTTAGGGGGCGAATGTTTATGCTTTCTACAGTGAAAAAACAATTAAAATTTAAATTTAACTCAACTTTAACCCAACCACACTATCTCTCATATTATCAATATAATTAATAATATCAACTCATCATTCTTACACTATCTCTTATTTTATCAATATAATTAATAATATCAACTCATCATTCTTACACATCAACTTAACTTTAATTCACTATTCATCCACTCACATAATTTTAACTAATTATCACTTCAAATCATTTTTCTCCTACTTTACATCAAATCAACTTTAATTATTTTATTTAAATATTATTTTAATATATCCACTAACAACTAACCACTATTTTTTTTTTAAAATTAACTATAATTAAAAAACAAATCAAATAAAAACTAGTTGAATCCATAAATAATCACCCCTTATTTTTTTTTTATTTGGAGTAATATTCTCAATAATTAGTTTCAAGCAAAAGTACATAATCATATTTCTTTTTTCATATCCAAATTCCAATGCACCAACACCGAGGGCATTTTTGTCAAATTTTACAACGGCTAGTAAGATCCTGGCCGTTGGATTATCAATAAACGAAAGCATATTCTTCGAGGCAAACACTCCGACAGCCCTCTCCACTTTCCTTGTTTGGCAGCAAACTCGAGAAAAAAATCTTCCATACCTCATTCTCCAGCTCCCCCTAATTTCCCCTAATTACGGTTCTAGGGTTTCCCTTTCTGCAAGGCCCTCAAAATCTGGACACCATTTTACAGCGGAAAAAATGAACCTCAACATCTTCAAGAAGAAAACTTCGCCTAAAGGTAGAGTCTTGAAACTGTCCCAGAATAGTTGGCAGTGTTCATTTTCTGTCTTTCTTGATTTCTGTAGGAAAAATTCAAATTTCACGTTGTTATTCTCAATTTTGAAATTTCTATATGGGGTGGGTTTTGAGATTAATGACCTAATTGCCTGCTNGGACTAGCAAAAGGGAAATGACGGTTGCCACAAGAGGTACTTTTAAGTTTTAAGCCTTTTTTCTCTGGTTTTTCTCATTGATGATTTGTGGGCCGTGAAGGATGTTGAGTTTGGTTTATGAAAGTTTTGTTCTTGCAGCTTCTAGAGTGAAATTAGCAACGAAAATAGGGGCTCATTGGTTATACTTAACTAATGGAATATTTATTTCCTTAATTCTTTTTATTTGTCGGTGAATTTCACTTTAGATGGATAATTTTCGGTTCTTTCGGTAGCGCCAAGTTTGAGTGTGGCATTCCATGTCACACTCTCTTTAGTCTTTGATACTCATCCATCCTCGTAAAGACCATTTTTTTCCGGTTTTGTATTAAGGTATGGTTTAATAAGGAAAAGAAAAGGGAAGAATGAAAAACAATTTGAGGCATAATTTGAGTTAAGCATGATTATTTTCCATCCACATGAAGTCACCAGTCCTATTTTACTCCGTTAAAATTTACCACTCTTGACTAGTAAACTCTGGAAAATTCTCAATGGTCTTGGCCGTCTTACATTTGTTCATCAAAATGAGATCTTCTTCTCATTGCTTCCTTTTTTTTTTTTACATAGTTTAACATTCCTACATAAAATGATTACAAAGCTACAGAAAGATTATAGCTTTACGGGCTTTATTAGTTTTTTCATCCTTACATTCTCTTGCACCATGTAATTGTCTTCAGTCTTATTTCAGTTCATACACTTAAGTGGTGATAGAATTACCTTTAACTTGGTAGTTGCTATTGGCTACGACTTACGACACCTCATGAATGCATTATGTAATCACTAACAACTAGAACTATATAAGTTGGTTTTATCCCAGCTAGTGAATAAACTTTGTGGGAGTCCAATTTAGGAGAAAATAGATTAGGGTGAAATATAACAATTGTTATGCTTGTTTTAGGCTATGTTTGGTAAACCTGATTAGCTAGCTTATAGCTTTTAAGTGAATTTTGAGCTTATAGCTGATAGCTTATGACTTATGGTGGAAAAACTAGCTTATATGATAAAAGTGTTTAGTAAAATTAGCTGATAAGCTATATTTTGCCGATGCTTTGCTCGCTATATTTTTTTTTCCTCC